ATAGCCTTTTCGTCGGACATCTGTTCAGTATGGTATGTTGCAGTCGACACAACTTCTCCCCATAATTTTTTGGGTAAATGCTTGCCTTTTAACATACTTCTAACCATATTCATAATGGTTCTATTTTTCCTCTCTTAGTTCCATTCTGCTGAGGAGTGTAGGGTGACACCACCTCATGCACAATCCTTTCTTTCTCACATAATATGTCAAATTCTTTCGACACATATTTTCCACCACCATTAGTTCTCAAAATCTTGAGCTTTCGACCTCTTTGTCTTTCGACCATAGATTTAAACTTGGCAAATACCTAGATCACTTCACATTTCTTCTTGAACAAGTAAGTCCATAGTTTTTGACTGAAATCATCTATGAATATGACAAAGTATTTGTTACCTCCAATCAAATCCACATGGATATGACCCATACATCAGAGTATATGATTTCGAGAATTGCCTTCGACTTGCTTCCTGCATCCTTGCTGAAGTTGTTCTTGTGTTGCTTCGCATGCACACATTCCTCACACACTTCATTTAGAATGTAGATTTTTGGTAACCCTGAAATTATACTTCTTCTCTTCAGATCTCTGATTTTTTTAAAGTTGAGATGACCAAGTCTATAGTGTTATATTCATTCATCCCTTCTTGCTACACTTGCAAGACACTTTTGTTCCATCACATTAAGTTCAAACCTAAAGGTTCTATTTTGAGACATATGTGCCTTCAAGATTAACTTTCCACCTGAGTTGTGAACTCTCATAATCTTATCTTTAATCAACACTTTGTATTTCTTTTTGACCAACTATCATATGCTGAGCAAATTACTCATCATGCCTGATATGTACAATACATTGGAAATTATTGATCTCTTACCATCTTTCCTCATAATTAGAACGTCACCAATACCTTCAGCTGCTAAAGTATTATCGTTTGCAAATTTCATTGTGTTCTTCATTGAGGGTTTAATGTTGACAGACCAATCTTTCCTACCAGTCATGTGTGATGAGCATCCTGAGTCAAAGTACCATTGGTCCTGGAATCTTTCTTCATCTCTTATTGTGACCATCAATAACATTTCTTATTCTTCATGCTTTGCAAACTTTGCATCATTTTCTTGGTTCTTTTTTTAGGACAATCACTAGAGTAGTGACCATACTTTTGACAATTGAAACACTGAATGTGACTTTTGTCAAGTTTTCGACCACTACCTTTTCCTCTACCTGCAGAACCACCTCTTTGGTTGCTTTGGTATAAGGACTTCCTCTGATTCGACCAACCTCCTTCTTGCTAATTTTGACCATTCGAATTGTTGTAGCCTCCTCTACATTTGTTGTCGAACCACTTCCCTTTTTCCTTTCTTTTCTCTTACTAATTGCGCCTACAAAGCCACATCACTCTTCAATTTGATTATAGCTCTTTCAATAATTCTTTGTTCATGAGATTCAAGCGTCCCTTGAAGTTCTTCCTTTGTCTATGTTGACAAATCTTTCGAATCTTCTATGGCTACTACCACGTAGGCAAACTTTGGAGCCAATGACCTCAAAATCTTTGCAACAACAGATCTTTAAGTCACCCATTTTGTAACCCTAGTGAAAAAATCAGTTATACTTTCATTTTTTTTTTCTATCTGAAGCAATTCATATGTTTTTTTATAAGTTTGTAAACTCACCTCTTTCACCTTCTCATTGCCTCCAAATGATTTCTCCAAAATTTCTCATGCTTCTTTGAATGATTCTACATCATTGATCTTTTCAAAATTGTCTGGATAAACACATTGATGAATTATAAAGAGAGTTTTATAATCCTTCTTCTTCAATTCTTTGTGTGCAACCTTTTCTTTATCCGTCGCATTTCTTGGAAGTGGTGTCACTCATTCCTTCACAAGATCCCAAATATCTTGATAACAGAAAACAACCTTCATCTGTTTACACCAATTCTCAAAATTCCGACCCTTCAGAATTAGAAGACTCTCCGAACAAAGTCCATTCGGATGATTCATCAACATCTTGTTTTGCTTCCCATGAATCACTCAATCAGACTCTGATACCAAATGTTGGAATTAAACCCAAGACTTTGAGTAATTTTGAATCAATCTTGATAAACAAGATTCAATCACGCCGATCGAATTCCTTCTTGTTTTTCACTCTTCACTCGAGTGAATCAATCACACATTGATTGCAAGATGATTCGTTACACAATGGTGATGAAACAAGAAAAGAGAATTGAATTATGAAAGAAAGAAAGATTTGGGTTTTAGAGAAAAATAAGAGAAGAAAAGATTTTTTTTGCAGAGCTTCTCTCTGCTTATAAACTGGAATTTTATTCTTTGTAACTGCAAGTGTTCAAGTGTGTTACAATTCATAATATGGTTACTTCCTATTTATAGATTTTGTTTGCTTGCTCCTTAAGTAAAGTCGCAAAAACAAAAAGCCCAAAATACCTAATTCTGCTAACACTAAATTAGGTTTAAGACAAAATCTATGTCGAGACTAACTTCTCGACACTTTGACAACTAGGTGTTTCGACATGCACACACAATAGACTATTCGACAACTTCTTTATCCCTATCGAGCAACCTGCTTCGACACAAGTAATTATAATTCAACACTCATCTTCTTTGAATCTAAAATTTTACAATAATTGTACGTGATTTTATGAAATAATCATATTTAAAAATATTTAAAAATGAAAACTATTATTTTAGGATGATTTTTTAGTACAAATATTTAAGCTATTTTAGGAATGACAAACTATATAAAAAAAAGTTATTCAAACTTCTAGCAAAAAAATATTAAAAAACAAGTCATTCACCATGTAAAAAAAAAGGAATTTTTTACATAAATGCCACAACTTGAAATAAAAAATACCATATTGCCACCTATTGAAATTTTTTTCCAAAAATGCCACATATTTACTATGGGCTCGTCCATTGGAAGGACGACCCAATGAAGTCCAGAAAAGGTAGTTGGGGTTCGGCCATCCATTGGCCGATCCTATACTACGTGATTTTTTTATTTTTTTTTATTTCAGAAATAAATATATATTATATATTATTATTTTATATTTTAAATTGTTTTTTATATATTAAAATTATTTAAATGATATTTTATATTAATGAATACATAATTTAATTATTTTAAATAATTTTTTAATATTATTAAATATTTTTCACATTATCTAATTATATAATTTAATTATTTTTAATATTAAATATTTTTCACATTATATAATTTAATTATTTAAAAATATTTTTTAATTATATAAAATAATAAATTAAATCATAAATTAAATCTTTTACTTTATTAATATTTATGAGCGAAAAAAATACATCATTTTTATCTCCAAATATTAATAAAATTTCTTTTATTAATATTAGTAAAATTTCCTTTATTAATATTAATATTAATATATCATTTTTTTTATGATGTGTTTTTTTCACTCATAAAAATCTCATTAATTAAATAAAAAATTTATGATGTATTTAACGTCATTTTCATGATGTATTAAATAAAAAATAACAAAATAGGATGTATTTAACATCATTTTTATGATGTATTTAACATCATTTTTCACTTATAAATATTAATAAAATTTCCTTTATTTCGAATCCACTACCTCCTATATTAATATTTTTGAGTGAAAAATATTTATGAATTTTTATGAATTTAACAGAATTTTTATGAATTTTTATGATTTCTTAATAAAAGAAATATTTATGATTTTTGTATTAATAAAAGAAATTTTTATGATTTATGATTTAATTTATGAAAAATATTTATGTATTTTTATAATTTATGAGTGTCCCAATATTAATAAAATTTCCTTTAATAATATTAATAAAATTTCCTTTATTAATATTAATATTAATACATCATTTTTTTATGATGTATTTTTTTCACTCATAAAAATCTCATTAATTAAATAAAAAATTTATGATGTATTTAACATCATTTTATGATGTATTAAATAAAAAATCAACATAATATGATGTATTTAACCTCATTTTTTACTCATAAATATTAATAAAATTTCCTTTATTTCGAATCCAATACCTCCTATATTAAAAATTACGAGTAAAAAATATTTATGAATATTTATGAATTTAACATCATTTTTATGAACTTTTATGATGTATTAATAAAGGAAATATTTATGAGTAAGAAATATTTATGATTTATGTATTAATAAAGGAAATTTTTATGATTTATGATTTAATTTATGAAAAATATTTATGTATTTTTATAATTTATGAAAAATATTTATAATTTATGTATTTTTATGATGTATTAATAAAGGAAAGTTTTATGATTTATGATTTAATTTATAAAAAATATTTATGTATTTTTTTCACTCATAAATATTAATAAAATTTCCTTTATTAATGATTTAATTTATTATTTTATATAATTAAAAAATATTTACTAATATTATAAAATTATTTAAAATAATTAAATTATTTATTTATTAATTTAAAATATCATTTAAATAATTTTATTATACAAAAAACATTTTAAAACATAAAATAATAAAATATAACATATAATTATTTCTGAAATTAAAAAAAAAAAAAACCCAACTAGTGCAGGGTCGGCCAATGGATGGCCGAACCCATGCTGGACGAAAACAGCTTTCATAGGGTCGTCCTTCCAATGGAAGAACCCTTACTAAAAGTGCGGCAGATTTGCATTTTTTTTTAAACTTGTGGCATTTTGGTGTTTAATTTTTCAGGTTGTGGCAATGTGGTAAAAAAATAAAAAAAAAAGCCATTCAAACTTTCCTTTCAAAAATAATTTTTATTAACCATTTAAAAAAAAAATTCAAACAAAAACTAACTTTTTCAAAGAAACAAAAAATAAGAAAACTTAAATTATATAAAAAAAGTGTCTCTTTCATACCGAGGCCAAATAGATAACATTATCTTCATTTCCATTGCTTCTTTTGTGATAAATTTTGTGTGAGTGTAAAGTGAAGGTAAGTTCCACTCATACTCAAATATTATTCTCTATGAAGCTTCTTTGCATCTACAAGCAGCCACCATCATCACCTTTTGCATCAGTTTCTAAACTGTTATTAAATAATCATAAAGCCATATTCAAAAACCCTTCCTCATTTTCTTTATGTTGTAAAGTTCATGCATTGAAGGAAGATTCAAAGCAATATGAGGTAGATCCAGAGAAGGCCAAAGAAGCCCTCAAAGAGCTTGACCAGAAAATCCAATCTATCTCTAATAAACAAGTTTCATCTCCAAAACTCAAGGGTACTACTCTCTTGTTTTCTCTCTTACTTTTCATTCTCAAAAGTGATAATTCTTGTAGTGTTTCAAATTTCTCTTTTGTACCTTTTTGCAGTTCCAGATATGAAGCCTAGGAGAGAGGAAATGACAAGTGAGAATGGTAAGCTCGAAATTTCAGAGTCGTTTCTTGGACTTGTAGCTGGTGGACTTGTTCTATTTACTATATTGTATAATGTACTATTTATTACTGTAATTAAGCCATCTATTGATGGTCCATAACCTATATTTAGGAGCAGTGTTTGACATTAATGTTTCTTTGTAAATGTTTTTCCAACAAAGGATGAACATGATAATCTATGATTAGAGAAGTCAAAATTCCATATGACAAAATAACCCTCTAACTCTATCTACATAAACCATTTTAGAAACTAGAAGGAAACTTTGATGATTTTTCTAAAAGAATACTCACAACCAATTAAAATTTTGATGAGATGGCAAGGGATATTTGTAAATAAGGAACAATGTATATGAGAAGTTCCTACAATATTTTGATTTGGTTCCTAATACAAGATTTGAAGCTTAAAGCACAATTATGGGTAATTGTAATTTTGAACACCATTAATCCAATATGCCACATTTTCAATATTACCATGGATATGGCTAGATTAGTCTAGTTTTTAATGAAACAATTATTAATGAAATTTTGGATTTTCTTCAAACAAGTCTTCATTTAAAGAAGAACCAATCACTTGTATTTTTTTGGATTATTCATTAAAATTTTGTTTGGATTGATGGAATCGGATAGAGCGGAACGAAATAAGATTGAATGGAATAATATTCTACTGTTTGAATCATTTATAGTTTGATGCATCCAATACATTTAGGTAGAAGTTACACAATAATTGAAATATATTTTAATCAATCGGTTACGCCAAAGTGGATAACCGGTTATATCTGAAGCTAATTAGTTCTAAAATTAATTCACCTACAATGATAATCAGTTACACCAAAACTGATAACCGGTTACGTATTTGAAAAACAAACTTCTCTACTACTGGATTACATATCAATACTTGCAATTACCACACCAAACATCAATAGAATCCTATCCATTAAAATCTGAACGAATTAAATAACAAATTAAAAGTCAAATATGTTCCAACCTAACAAATAGACATCCCTCATTTTTGTGGCCATGAAACAAATTGAAACATCAACTAAGAAAAAAAAAACCATAGTTAAGCTTAGAAGCATCATCATTTAAATATAATATTAAATAATAGTAAAATGGAAGTCATAACTAGAACTTTTGGTTCCAAAATCAAACATAGAAAACAAGCCCTGTGCAAGGAAGGAGGAACAAATAAACAAAAACTAATAAAAAAAGTGAGATGGAGGACAATTGATCAAAACTTCAAAAGTGAAAGACATGAATGCCACATTTATAAACCTTTTTTTTCCTTCGTAAACTAACAAAAATGATTGACTAATTAAAGTATAATCAAGGGATCAAATTGAAACACAAAAAGAAAAATAGATTCACAATAAAAATGAAAACAATATATTATATAAATTCGTCTCAAATATTTATTTTATGATATGAAAAAATACTCAAATACCTAAGATATAGTGTGTTGTCGCGGGAATCATAAGCGTTTTCTAAATTTCTTAGGAAGCGATTCCACTATCATCACACAAGATACTCAAAGCGAAACTGCCTCCAATTCAATCCAGATTCGTTGCTTCTAACAATGGAAGAAAAATACTCATTTAAGAATCTCCATAGCCGAGAATATTCCGGTCACAAGAAGAAGGTACCGCTTCATTCTAATCTTTTCACGCTTCTTGCGGTTTAATACTTAGGTTTATGTGAAAAAAAACCCTCTTTTCTATATTTCCGTTTCAATTCTCAAATGGGTATTTTTTTTCTGTTTCTTTCTTTTCGATAGGTGCACTCCGTGGCTTGGAATTGCATTGGCACAAAACTTGCTTCTGGTTCTGTTGATCAAACAGCTCGAATCTGGCACATTGAACCACATCATGGCCATGTAAGCTTGCTTACTCCTAATTGCTCTCTTTGGTTTTTTATTTGGTTTTCAATTAATTAGACAGAAAATTGTTGTTGAAACTTGAAGCTGTAGAGTAAACTAAGGTCAATTGTTAACTTTTCCATGAGAGTCTATATAGAAATGAAGCATTTTTCCAAGATTTTTTCTGTCGTTTTGGCTGATACTTATATGTCACGGCGAACAATTTTATCCTGCTTATTGTTTTGTTGATAGAAATTTAATTGTTCTATTTGGCGGGGGATTGCTATAGGGTAAAGTTAAAGATATTGAATTGAAGGGTCACACTGATAGTGTGGATCAGCTATGCTGGGACCCCAAACATCCCGATCTTATTGCGACTGCATCGGGTGACAAGACTGTTCGTCTCTGGGATGCTCGAAGTAAGTGATCATTCTGCTGTACAATTCATTTATAATTATTCACACAGAAGGAAGAGAGTTATTATGAGCTTATATTTTGGGATACTTTTATTTCTGCAGGTGGAAAATGCTCACAACAAGCAGAACTTAGCGGGGAGAACATCAACATCACCTACAAACCGGATGGTACTCATGTAGCAGTAGGTAATAGGGTATGTTACGCAATCCCTTCATCTGAAGTACTAACATATGTTTGAGTTGATTCCTCTGTTTGAATCATTGAGCTTTGTATTATAGATACTAAATAGGCCAAGCTTGGCTATGATTGCCTTGCTGTTTTTAATGTGAAATCTTACCTTGTCTTTTCTTTTTATAGGATGATGAATTAACAATACTTGATGTTCGGAAATTCAAACCAATTCATAGGCGCAAGTTCAACTATGAGGTATAGCCTAGTGTATGCTTCATTGTTGCAGTCTACTATATTTCTGAGTTTGTTAAGGCTTCTCCCGAGGCTACAAAATGAAACTGTTACAAGAGAAATTGGAAATTGGTAGAAACAACCTTAAGAAATAAACAATTTTATTGAAAGATTGAGAATAGGAGAAACAATTTTCCCTTAAGGATTTTTCCCCTTTACAACTCAGCCACTGCTCTATTTACTCGATAGTAACAATTCTCAATGCTGATAAAAAATCTACTGTCTAGTAAATGCTACCGCCAACTGACTAGCTAATACTCTTGTTGTTCCTGATTATTTTCTCAGTCTCTTCTATCCTAACATAATCTGGACGTAAAAAATTATGATCAATTTATCTTTATACCACATTCTTATAATATTATGTAAAATGTGAATGTGATGTGGTTGTTTATCGGTTTAATTGGTAAAGTAACTCGCGTTTTAACTACCCAGCTTTGGTTTTCTTATGTTTTTATCGCGTTTAATTGGTAAATAACTCGTAGTTGAAATTTACAGTCTGATAACAGGCTTGTTAGTTGGTGTGTATTGCCTTTTTAATTGATATAAATATGTTGTCAACTAGAAGAACCAAGTGCTCTGGTGTCAAAGCATCAGAAACAACCATGAATTGCATGTTTGTTTTGTTTGACTTCCATTTGGGTGGAATGAGTGACTTACAACTTCTATGCGTTAAAACCTGACATATCTGCTAAAAATAGAGTCAAGTTAAAGAACTTGTTTTTACTTACAGCCAACCAATGCTATTGCTAGTTATATGGATTCTCCCCAGATGCAAAAATGAGTACGGATTACTAATTATATACGAGATTTGAACAAGTGTCTTTCTATAATTCTCCCTATGATTGTTGTTCAGGAGCTCATTGTTTTGCTCAACAACACTAATGCTTGATCGTTCAGGAATTCATAAGTGTATTTCTTTGATTACATAATTTTAATATTTGGTAGTGTGCGTCATTGCAGTTTAGTGGTATGGTTGATGTGAGAACAGCAATATGTTTAACTATTTAAATGACACATTGTATTTATAGCACAGATTTCATACAGTGGCAAACATTTCTTTAACTCTCTTGTGATGAATTAACTCAAATTTGCTAATAATTCCTGAATTTTTCCTAGGTAAATGAGATTGCTTGGAACATGACCGGCGAGATGTTTTTTTTAACAACTGGAAATGGTAAGGTCATTATTGTTTGCTTTGTTAGTTACCTTCTAAAATATTATGGGTTTGTATAGAGTAGAAAAATATCTTATATTTTGTTACATTGCCACCTACTTAGGGACTGTGGAAGTATTGTCTTATCCATCTCTTCGGCCCCTTGATACCCTCATGGCTCATACAGCTGGTTGTTATTGCATTGCAATTGACCCAACAGGAAGGTATGTTTCTGTCATCATTTTCTCCAATAGACTATCTTCATTTTTTTCATAGAAAGTATAATGAACGTACCAAATTATATATCCTCGTTATATTGCGACAGACATTTCGCCGTTGGAAGTGCCGATTCCCTTGTCAGCTTATGGGTTATCTCAGAGATGCTTTGTGTGCGTACCTTTACAAAGCTCGAGTAAGTTTCACCTAATTTCCGTGGTTGTGTTGTTTTTCAAGATATAACTAGTGTGTAGCTTCTTGTGACAAATTCGGAATGCTATGTTTCTCAGATGGCCGGTCCGTACAATTAGTTTCAATCATACCGGGGACTTGATTGCTTCAGCAAGCGAAGACTTGTTCATTGATATTGTAAGTTTATACGCCCCCCTTGTTAAACATAAACATTAATTTGTAAGATTGCTCAAACAGAATTTGCTTGTTTTTGTGGCACAGTCAAATGTTCATACTGGAAAAACAGTACATCATATTCCATGTAGAGCTGCGATGAATAGTGTTGAGTGGAATCCTAAATACAATGTACTTGCATATGCCGGAGACGACAAAAACAAGTATCAGGCTGATGAAGGTATGGTCATTTCATCATTTGGACACCTGCAAAGTGTTATTGGATACACTAGAATCATTAGAGGCTGGTATTAACTTATGTGCATTTTGGTTGCAGGTGTTTTTCGAATTTTTGGTTTTGAAAATGCTTAGTGTTTACCTTGGTAGTGACCGAATGAGAATGATGGACAGAAGAACTCAAGGGAAAAAGACGAGATGTGAATCTTAAGGAGATTAATTTAACACATGATTGTATCAAACTATCTGCAAAGAATGATATTTCCAGAAAATATGAAATTGAATGGATATGCAAATAGCATATTTATTTTTGTTTTTAAGATTTTGGATAAATAACACTTTAGCATATTTATTTTTGTTTTTAAGATTTTGGATAAACAACACTTGTCTATTTAAACATCAATGGTCATATCTTTCAAGAAAAGTTTCTCTTGCTTTCAGTGTCCAACTAATTAACTATTTTTACTGCTAGCTTAAGGTTCCTCAACAAAATTTATGAAACTCCATGTCAGATTAAATCTGATTTTTTTTTGGCCACGTGTGATAATATGAGTCTTCTGATGATCAAAAATAAAATAAACATACCGGGTTAAATATGTTTTTGATCTCTATAAAATTATTTATTTTTGTTTTTATTCTTATATTCTTAAGGAGATATAAGGAGTTAATCTCTAGTCAACTACTTCGAGCCTAGAAGTAGGAGTTTCATTCGGACTTTTAAACCCTTACGCTTAACCTGGGGCAGGGTAGTTGTTCAGTTAATCCAATTACGGACTCAAATCGCAAAGCAAAATTTAGAAGACGGTTGTTCATTAATGACCCTCGACATGGCAGTCACAATCCTCCAACGAAATCAAAAAAAATAAATCAAAAGCCTGTTAAGTTAAGCACCTCAAAGGGGACTTAGGCAAAAGTCAAGGCAATCCCGATGGATCTGACAAGATTAGTCCATGCAAAAGTTAGGGATCAAAAACAAAATCAAAAGAGGTCCTCAAAACCTCAACAAAGATAAAATAAAATTCAGTGGCCACCAAATCAACATCAAAGGGTCACTGACATCCGTCAAAAGCAAAATAAGGTGACTGCCATTTCGAGCAAACCTTGAATCATCAAACTTACACCGTCAAGGTAAACATATACAGAATTAACTGAACGTGGGACTGGAGGTCATCAAGAAGAAGGGGTGGGTACAAATCATACTTTGAGCCTAATATCCTTTGTTTCATGAACCATAAACTAGACCACATTATAACCCTAGAAAGACCTAATTGAGGCGAAGTTTATTCTGAAAGCATACCATTGCGAGGTTGCGTAAACTGACTCCTCACATATGTGCTAGTCATCAGCATTGGTGTCATTATCCTTGCTATATCTTTCACACCAATCAAATTAGCACAACGTCTGGACTAACAGTCCATTCATCTCCCACTATCACAACACTTAATAAACGATATTTCTTTCAAAAACTCGCATGAACTTGACATTAAGATTACCATTTGTGAATGTACAAATTGCAAATCAATGCTAGGCATCCAAGACACCCCAACAAGGGACAACCGAGGAAAGAACTTGACTTTTAGTGGCTAACACGAGGCAAGGTCATCTTAAAACCCACAGACCGGGGCAAATCATTCAACAACCCGATCAGGGGCAAGTCAATTCAAAGCATCATAAATTCAGCATTAGCTTCAGAACTGGTTAATCACGGGTAGACCATTTTCATGTTCAGATTAGGGCAAGTCCAGGTCACCCTGACTATCAGGCAGAATTGTGATTCTTTCTGAAGCAAGTTCACAACAAATCACCATGTACTCAAACTTAGGGCATCAGAGCATCTCCGTCTACTTCAATCATGGCGTCTTCAAACTGCGTGTCGAGGAAGTCGATCCCTCCCACCATCCAAAGTCCAATCCGCATTGGCAACTACCAAAAAGTATGCCACGTCGGCACTTGCATTTCCAATTACCCATCCGTAATTATGTGCATCATATGCATCACATTTGATATCATAAGCATCTTGTATCATATGCATACCCAGAGTCATATCATACTTCCCCAACTCTTGCATCTCTGCGCGTTAGCATTTGCATTTGCATTTGCATTCGTTGTGGAACATCATCAGCATCAAGCATTCACATATGCAAGTCAAGGTCCAGGATCAATCTCGAAGATCTCTAAGATCATCATCAGCCCAGTCAGGGGCATCTTTTGCAATACCGTGGGTTTCCCTTCACGAAATTCAAGGATATCAAAACGAGGTTCGGTCCAGTCAGGGGTAACTTCTTCAAGATCATGGGCGTCTCCCATGATATTATTTCAACTTGGTGGTTGATCAGAATTCCAAAACGATCCTCTGCCCAGTCAGGGGTGTCTTCTTCAAAACGGCGGGCGTTCCCTACGAAGTTGTTTCAACCGTATGGTTGATAAGATTTCCGAAGCAAAATTTAGCCCAGTCAGGGGCATCTCTTTCAAGACCGTGGATGTTCTCCACGAGGTTTCTGATCTTGTTGGTTGGTCAGCTCTCCATAACAAGTTTCAGCTCAGTTAGGGACATTTTTGTCCAAGACCATGGGCATTCCTCACGAAGTTGTTCAACCTTTTATTGGGCAAACCAGACAAGATATCAAGCAAACTCTCTGCCTAGCCAGAGGCATCTTCTGCAAGACCGTGGGCGTTCCCCACAAAGTTATTCAACCTTTTGTTGGGCAGATCCCAGATTTTCGAAGCGACGTTCAGCTTAGCCAGAGGCATCTCCTTTGAAATCGTGAGTGTTCCTCACGAAGTTGCTCAACCTTTTGTTGACCAAGATCAAGAGTTTTAAGGCAAAACTCAGCTTAGCCGGGACATCTTTTCCAAAGTTCATGGGCGTTCCTCATGAAAGTTATTGAAACTTTTTGTTGTCAAAGCTATAACCCATAAGCAAGTCAGTGGGAGTTCCCCGTTGATTCATCTCAAACAAATATTCCTCTTGGGCGTCCCCCAATGAGTTTCCTCCAGCAAGCTTGACATTTTTCCAGTTGCCTTACTATCATCCTTTAGGTGATAGCCGAACCTCGTCAGTTCGACCTAGCCTACATCCTTTTGGTGTTGGTTACCTTCAAGATTGGGAGTTTATTTTCATCCTTTTGGTGGTAATAACTCTTGAGTTTCGCTCCATCATCCTTTTGATGATGGGTCTGTCATCCTTTTGATTCCAGGTTATGCGAATGTTCTCCGTTATCCTTTTGGTAATGGAATCCTACATCCTTTTGGTGTCAGGTTTATGTGTGTTTCGCTCTATCATCCTTTTTGTGATAGGTATGTCATCCTTTTGGTGTCAGATTGTGTGAGTGACTTCCATTATCCTTTTGGTAATGGATCCCCTACATCTTTTTGGTGTCAGGGTTGCGTATGTTTCACTCCATCCTCCTTTTGGTGATGAGTCTGTCATCCTTTTGGTGCTGGATTATGCGAGTGTTCCCTACACCCTTTTAGTGTCAGAACTATATGTGTCGTTCTATCATCCTTTTGGTGGTAGCACCACGTGTGCATGAGTTTACTATCATCCTTTTGGTGATAGGAATGTCATCCTTTTGGTGTCAGGTTTTCTCTGTTATCATCCTTTTGGTGATAACGAACTTTGCAAGATATCCAGTTTTTCATTTCCCAAGCATGCTCCTTCTTTGCGGACAAATTCAAGGTCTTCTTCATATCTAGACAAGAGTTTCAGATTCATGGACTTCCTTAACTGTTTGTCACGTATGTTAGTCATTTCCAGGCAAGAACTCCATCAAGAAAGTCTATTTTGAATGAGATCTTCGTATCGATCCTTGTGAGAAGAGCTTCTCGGGGACCCATACTACGTGACCATCGATCTTAGTTGTTCAATGGTTTAGGGTTCTAAAAAGGTCCTTAGAGTCATGGATTCCCAAGAAAACATTTATCAAACATGCCAAGAGCTTGACGGTCATCAACATCCTCAATGGAATCTACTCTAAGTGAGGTTTTCGTATAGAATTTCACGAGATGAGCATCTCGAAAGCCCATACTACTCAATCTTTCCTATCTCAATTTTACATTCTAGACTCGGGTGTAGAGTCTTTCTCTCATAGTTTTCCACCAAAGTAGAGTCGCCAGCTGTCACTACGCGAAAAATGACATAGAGTTGCTACCGATTTTTATTTATTCCAAGAGGAAAGTGGAAATAACGATAAAACCCCCTAAAGGTGAAAAAATGGTCTCGCAACCAAATATGGGATTGGAAGCCGGTTATGTGAGGGAAGGTATTAGCACCCCCTCATATCCATCGTACTCGATGGAAACCTTCTAAGTTGTCTAGCTCGAATCAGTGTTATAATCTAAAATTCTACTTGCTAAATGTTTACTTGCTAAAGGGACAGAAGGTTGGTTTTTATTAGAGTGATCGCCAAGGATTGAGGCCCTTGTGTCTATGTATTCTCGACGGGAATGAGAAATCAGAGCGTCCGTAGTTCGTGGGACTACGGTGGAAAATGGAAAGAGTGCTTGCTAGGATCGTCGCAATCTTATGCCTACGTATTCTCAACAAGTATGAAAAATCAGAGCATCCGTAGTCCGGCCTATGGAGAAAAATGGGAAGAGTCCTCGCTAGGATTGTCGCAATCTTATGCCTACGTATTCTCAATAAGTATGAGAAATCAGAGCATTCGCAGTTCGGCCTACGGAGAAAAATGGGAAGAGTGCTCGCTAGGATCGTCGCAATCATATGCCTACGTATTCTTAACAAGTATGAGAAATCAGAGCAGCTGTGGTTCGACATACGGAGAAAAATAGGAAGAGCGCTTGCTAGGATCGTCGCAATTCTATGTCTATGTATTCTCAACAAGTATGAGAAATCAGAGCAGCCGTAGTTTGGCCTATGGTTTGTTGGTGCTTTTTATGGACGATGCTAACTTTCGTGTTCTAGAAATTAGGTGTTTTTTCGCTCGTTGTCTGGAGTCTTATGCGTTACCTGTTTCCGATAGAACGAAAATAACATGCCCTTTTTGAAAATTTTTTTAAGGGAATCCTAAAGGATGATAAGATTTGGATTTGTGGAAGTGTTTTTGTTAGGTTTTGAAAAGAAGTTTGAGATGCGCATTGTACTAAAGTCTATGGGTAGAGGTGAATATTTTGAA